ACATAGAGATATAATTACCAATAAATTCTCAATATTCTAAAATTTATAAATTCATGTTTTTATATTGTGAAATTTAGCTTATAATTTTTCTACTAAATATCATTACCAATAAATTATTATTATTTTTTCGAGCTAATCTGATTATTTTGGTTAATGATAACATACCATTTGACATAAAATTAAAAAAAGTATTATTATTGAATATTAAAAATCACAGTTACCAAACAATGAAGAAATTTAAAAAAAATTAACAATAAAGAAAGTTGAATCCTTTGGATTGTTTAATGATAACATACCATTTGACATAAAATTAAAAAAAGTATTATTATTGAATATTAAAAATCACAGTTACCAAACAATGAAGAAATTTAAAAAAAATTTAACAATAAAGAAAGTTGAATCCTTTGGATTGTTTAGAATCTCCAAACTTGGACACCAATCCTCCAAACGACACCATAGTTTACTCTTAGCGTTTAGTTCATATATAAAAAGAAAAAGAGGTGTAATTATAGTTATTGGAATCAATTGATTTTTGACATTATATCTACAGAGTCTTATGTGATTGAGAGATATTATTTTCAAATCTCGGTGAACTCATTGATAAGCAGTGGGGGAGGGAGGGTACTAGATGAGAGGGGTTTGAGGACCCCACTTGGCAAGATTTTTGGGGGAAATCCATTAAATGTATAGATTTTAGTATGATTATGTAAAAAAAAAATTTTGCATTGAGGGGAGGCAAAGAGCCTAGAACAGAAAACGGAGGTACAGGGGATTAAGCGGGGAGAGGAGTCCGAATCGCAATACGGCGCTCGAACGTAGTTCCAAGGAGGTCATCCCGAAGAATAGCACTGAGCTCGGATGGCGGTTCGGCAAGCTCATGCATACCGTAGGGATAGACGAGACTGTGCTTCGAGAGCCAGTCCGCGACTCTATTCCCTTCGCGGTATGTATGAACGAGACTAACCAGCCAATCCCTTCCCATATTCCTGCGAATCATCGAGAGAAGCGTCGCATGCGGGTGGAGCGGATCTGATCTATGCTGAATAAGCTGAATTGGCAATTGAGAGTCCGTCTCTATCTTCACAGCCCGGCAGCCAAGCTTCCACGCCAACTCTATCCCGAAGTTGATGCCCCACAGCTCTGCAAGGGCCGCGGTCGCCGACCCGATGTTGGCCACAAACCCTCCCAGCCAACGCCCCGTCGAATCCCTGACCACTCCCCCTGCCCCAGCCGGACCGGGATTTCCGTTCGAAGCCCCGTCAACATTCACAGTGACCCATCCTTCTTGAGGAGCCGTCCAGCCAATATCTGCAGGCCGCACACGGTTGTCGGGAAGGGGTGCAGGAGCGTTCCAAGAAGTATGCCACAGGTTAGCCTTCGTGAGAATGGAGTGCTCGAGCGAAGGGGCGGTGAGCGCAGCGTTCCTTCCCTGAAAAGCAGTAATACAACGATTCTTCCAGATAAGCCAGGCCGCCATGCTGAAGAAAGCTGGCCAGCTAATGCCATCTGGAGTCTGCCTGTCGTCTAAAAGATTCATCCTCAACCAATCCTCCTGAGAAGTACTGAAGAAGTGCTGCTGTTGCTCGCTCATGATTCTCCTGGACCAGAAGAAAAGAGCCTGGGGGGCAGTCTCTGGGAATATGGAGAATCGTCTCGGGTCTCCCTGGGCACCTGTCACAGAAGGGGTTAGGAGCAATCTTCTTCGTGAACCGGAGGCCATTGGTAACTAGCTTCCCAGAAAAAGTCAGCCACATGAAGCATCTAATCCGTTCCGGAACGGGGAGGCGCCAAATAGTCTTCCAGATCTTCTCGTCTGGGTCCTGCTGCTGCGAACTAAGAAGCGTGAAAGCCAACTTGGTGGAGAAACGGCCGTCGGCTGAAGCAGCCCAGAACAGCTGATCCGGTTCCTGTGAAAGAGTGGCCACAGCAATGCTCCGGATCTTTTGGACAATCTCGATCGGCAGAATATTGTCAAAAAGATCCGTGCGCCAGCTCCCGTCGTTCTCCACAAAGTCCGCAACTGCCGCCTCCTCCATCTCGAGAGGAATGTCGCCAGTCACCAAGTCTCGAAGAGGAACCTGCGAAATCCACGGATCAATCCAAAATTTAGTAGTTCTGCCATTCTTAATATTCCAGGCACAGCCTTTTTGCAAGAGATGGGCAGCCTTAGAAAGGCTAGCCCAAGTAAAGGAACTTCCCTGAATTGGCCGGAGGACATTTAGGCCCTGTCTGTTTCTCCCGTACTTCGCCCGCATCACTCGAGCCCACAGACTGTCCTTCTCTGTGATCAAACGCCAGCCCCCTTTGGCTAGCATCGCAAGATTTGCTTGCCGAGTTGGTCTAATTCCAATCCCTCCCTGGCACTTCGGAGCTGTCATTTTCCCCCAGGCGACCAGGTGCATCTTCGTCTTGTCCTCCTCGTCACCCCAAATAAAATCCCTACTGAGCTTGTCGATGGCGTTGCACACGCCGCCGGGAATCAACTCCGTTTGCATGGTATAGACCGGCAGAGAGGCCGCCACTGACTTGGTCAAAGTGATCCTAGCTGCCAGGGAGAGGCGCTTGGCCTTCCAAGGGGCCATCCTCTTCTGAATACGGAGAATAAGGGACTGATATCTTTCTCTCGTTACCCGTTGCTGAATCGCCTGAATTCCCAGATACCGCCCCAGGGCCGCTTTGAGAGGGACCCCGGCTAGATGACTCAAACGAGAGGCTCTCCGTCTACTAACGTTGGGGGAGACATACAGGATTGACTTATTGTAGTTGACCTTCTGCCCCGAGCTGAAACAGAAATCCGCTAGGCATTGCTTCACCATCTCGATCTGACTCGTCTCTGCTTCTGCAAACAAAAGGAGATCATCAGCAAAGAATAAATGGGTGAGAGATGGTCCGTTAGCAGAGAGCTTTAAAGCTTTCCATTGACCATTATTCACGGCTTCATCTATCTTGTGAGACAAACGTTCCATACAAAGGACAAAGAGATAAGGGGAAAGGGGGTCTCCCTGACGGACTCCTCGCGAGGGCGAGAAAGATTGAGACATCTCGCCATTCCAAAGAATTCTCATCTTGTTCTGCTCCACACAAGTCATAATGCAGTTGATCCAAGTGCTTGGAAGGCCCACCTCCTTGAGAGTGTCTCTCAAAAAGTCCCACCTGAGTCTGTCGTAGGCCTTCTCCAGATCAATCTTGAAGATCAACCCCCCTTTTTTGCTTCTCTTCCTCTCCAGAGTGTGAAGAACTTCCTGCACGACCATAATGTTGTCTGTTGTTTGTCTCCCGGGTATGAAGCTGCTTTGCCTGGGTGAAACAAGTTTCCTCATGAGGGGTTTGAGCCTGCTAGTCATAGTATTCGTGATAACTTTGAGGCTGACATTGTTGAGAGATATGGGGCGGAGTTGAGTGACTCTTTCCGGGTTGTCCACTTTCGGAATCAGCACAAGGGTAGGCTCCGTGATGGCTTCAGGAAGCATCCCCGTGGAGAAGAAACCCATCGCCATGTCAGAGAGCTTCTTTCCAACGGTTGCCCACAGTTGCTGGTAAAACACGGCATGGAAGCCATCCGGACCAGGCGCCTGGAAAGGTTTCATCTCAAAGACCGTTCTATGAATATCCATAATTGTGAACGGACTTAAAAGGAGCAGCATCTCTGAGTTGTTTAGCCGCGGAAACTTGTTCTTGGGAAGCCTATCCTCATAAGGTGAGTTCTCCTGCAAGAAGAGGTTAGAGAAAAAATCAAAGATCAAAACAGCGAGGGAGAGAGGATCCGTCACCCAAGAATCATTTTCGTCGAGCAGAGCTTCAATTCGGTTCCTTCTCCTACGAATATTGACTTGCTGATGAAAATAGGCCGTGTTGCGCTCCCCGTACTTCACCCACTTGTCCCTCGAGCGCTAGAACCAAAGGATCTCTTCCTGCTCCAGGATCTGATCCAGCTCAGTCTCGAGCTTTGCACGCAGCTTCGCCAGACCAGGAGAAAAACTAGCTGCCATTCTGGAATCAATGCCTTTGATGCGCGCCAGCAGGCGATTCTTTTTCTGATGGATGATGCCGAAAGTGTTGGCATTCCACTCCAGAAGCTTCCCCGCGAGGTTGACAATGGCATCAGGGAAGGCGGCTTGCTGCTCCCACATTTCCGAAACAAAACCCTGCAACTCCTCATGCATCAACCAGGCCGCCTCGAACTTGAAAGGGCGGCTGCTGTTCCGGCTACTATTCTGGTCAGAGACGGAGGTCAGGATGGGGAGGTGATCAGAATGGAGCCTGGGGAGATGGATGACCGACGTATTGGGATAGATCTCATTCCATCTCAGATTACAGAGGCTCCTGTCCAACCTGCTGGCCTTGTAAGTGTGATTATGGTCTCCCCTCGTCCACGTAAATGTTGCTCCTGAGAAACCAAGGTCAATCAACTCCGCTCCGTTGATCCTATCATTGAACATTCGACATCTCCTCACGGCGCAAGCAGTCGGGGAGCCGGACTTCTCCTCCAAGGTGCGGATGGCGTTGAAGTCCCCTGTGATGAGCCATGGTGAGTCGATCCATCTGCTCTGCTCGGTAAGGTTGTCCCACAGCCCTTGTTGCTCACTGGGTCTTGGAGACGCATACACTGCCGTCAAGTACCACGACTGCTTGTTGGCCTCATCAATTCTCAAAGACAGGTGCTGGTTGCAAGCAACAATGGGGTGGACAGTGAACCTTCCAGCATCCCAAAAGACCCAGATGCCCCCCCGTCTACCATCCGCTTCAATATGGATTGAGTTCGGGTAACCCAATCTGTCGCAGACTGAATTCGCAGCAGCTCCGCTAATTTGCGGCTCCAGGAGAATGACAAAATCGGGGCGCTGCTGCTAAATCACAAGCTTCAGAGATCGAAGGAAGGCTCGATCCCCTGCCCCTCCTACATTCCATGAGAAAATTTTTAACTTAGTATTAATAGACATCGACATAGACATGAAAACGGAAAAGAAAGAAAAAGAAGGAAAAGAGATGTCGAGGAGGAATCAAGGAATCGAGATGTCGAGGGCGGTCTGTGAAGGATTCACCGCTTGCTCCTCCCGCGAACCGGCCCTTGCGCCTCCCTCCGTGTTCCCCGTCGTCGAATTGGCCGCCGAGGTCCAGGCTGCGATTTCTTGCATCGTCAGCGCCGCAATTCGTCCTTTGGATTTGGACCTGCGCTCCTTCTTCGGAGTTCCTATATGCAGCCCTCTCAGCGGGCTTAGCTTCGTGGGAGTTCTACGATGATCCGCCTGCTTTGCCTTCCCTCGTTTTGTCCTGTCCTTGGTTGATGAAGGAACAGCAGGTACCTGGGAGGTTGGGCGTTCCACTGGTTTTGGTTGAAGATGAACAATCTGCATAATTGTTCCATTCTCTCCCGTGATCGTTTGGACCGTAGGTGGGCTTGATTGCTGGACTGGCTTCGTATCGGGCTTCAGAGAAGTCTTGGCCAAGCCCATTTGCTGGGAGCCGACCAAAGCCAGGGGTTTGGGCTTCGTTGGAGTACTCGGCTTATCTGACGATTGGGCTGACGTTGATGCTTGGGCCTGGTCTTTAGGCCCACTCCTCGCGTTCATTTTATTCTCCGGGCCAGAGCCCAAGATCCCCTTACCGTTGCCCTGGGATTCGGAGTAAGTCCCCTTTCCCTTCCTGCCTTCCTCCCCTCCTTTCTTTCCTGATCCTCCTTTCCTTTCTTGGCCAGAGGTCCGTTGGGTATCAGAAGGAGATGCCAGGGACCACGAGGCAGTCATGCCTCCTCCTTCCTTATCCCCACCCCCAATCTTTCCTTGTTTTGTCTGAACACCCCCATTGATATTTCTTGTTTCCCCTTCTGATTTAGCTTTTTGAGGAGTATCCCTAAGATTCCGCCTGTTTTTGCGAGTGACCAACATCCACGGCCCGAAACCCGGGTTTGGTTCTTCCGTTACCGGCTCGGAGGTTCTCCCCGGGGATTCGCCGCCGGTTATCGCCATCAACGCCGGTGGCCTGGCCGTTTGTCGCAGCGGACAACAGGCTGATGTGTGACCAATGACCCCACACTCGAAGCAAACATCCGGCAAATTCTCATACTCGACCTTCTACCAAGCGTCATCCAACCAAATGCGGGGCACCAGGGGTTTGGAGAGGTCCACCTCGACCGCCAGTCGAGCAAATTTCGCACGTTGAAGGTTGAGCGTGTGGTAATCGAGCTTGATGGTACGGCCAATGAGATTGCCCAAAGTTGTGAGAACCTCCTTATGGTAGAAATGGATTTTCAAGGCTGGCAGCTGAACCCAGACGATCATCGTCTTCGGGAGAGGATCTAAAACCTTGAAGTTTGGCGTCCATTGTTGGACCGCCAGGTAGTGGTCCAAGATCGTCCATGGTCCGTCTGTGAGGGCTCTGAAATAATCCTGCTCATTGCTGAGCTTTACTAGGAAACAATCTTGGTCGAGGTCGCGAATCTCCATAGAGCCAATAGGTCTCCAGAGGCTGCGAAGGCGAGAGCAAAGGGTATTGAAGCCAATCTTTGTGCCGAGCAGTCGCACCACGATCGTTCTTTGCCAGGGGGCACAAATCCTGTTCTTAAACTCACTGGAGATATTGAGCGCTGGTTCACCATTCCGTTTGCCGGGGATGAGATCATTTTCCCCCACAGGGGTCCATTGTTTCGTTGAAACTTGATCAGCCTCCGACATCCTCCAGCCTGCCACCGCCGAAGCATACGAGAATTTAGGTTGGGGGTCTGTAGAGGTCGGTGTCGCCGCCGCAGGAACAGCTGAGGAAGTTATCGTCGGAGACGTGGTCGCCGAAGGGTCAATGAGCATGTCCGTTCCTGTGGCCGGAGGGAACCCTGCCGGATCAGGAGAGTTATCGGTGAGAGTTGGGCCTGGATCCGGTGGCCGGTCAGGATGGACTACCGGTACCGGAGCAGAGAGCACGGTGTTTACAGTTGAGAGCATTTTTTTTCCAAAATTTTCAAACCAAACGAATCGTATGATTATGTAAATACAGGTGCTCATACTTTCGTCGATGTTTGTTGTATTTAAGAATCCCAATCAACTCAAAATTCATTAGATACATAGACATTATTATTATTACCTTTTTAAGGACCCATCAGTTTAAAAAGCTGGCTACGCCACTGTTGATAAGCACATGGTTTTTTATGCTTGTACAAACTTCAAGTTTACATATATTATTGACTTTCGTTTGAGAAATCGTGTTAGTGTTAGTATAGTATATAAGATCTATTATTGAACCTCCCGGTAGAATTGGAATCAACAAGTTTTCCACAAGACAAATAATTTACTGTTCAATATCTCATTTGGATCCATTGATCATATTATAACCAGGAACCCAAAGATGAAGAATGAGCATGTATCACTTCTATGGTCTAATATTATACCTACGTAGTTACCTACTTTGACAAGCACTTGCAATAAACAAGACATGCAATTTGGCTTAACGTGACAAGGCTCAATTTGAAACGGCTAGGGCTAGGATGGTTCTTCCTACAAGCTAGCAAAATAGACTAAACTGCTAGCTTGATAACATCATAACGTGCATTTTGATATAATCATTTGGGGGAAAATACAAGTAATTAATCAGCGTCGTCAATGTCAACTGAGAAAAGCCAAAGGAGTGAAAGAGTGAAGAAGAAGAAGAAGACCGCAACCAAACAAAACAGTTTTTTTGTCGTCATTAGTCTCCTCGTTCATGAAATAAACTAGAAAACTCCCGCAATATTTTTTTCCCACCCGCGCGCGCGTTAGTTAATCAACCACCCGCACACGCATTATTATTTATTACATTATTATTTTGACCGGTGGGCTGGGTTTTCTGCAAGTAATTAATTTGTTACACTAAAAAAAAAACCATTAACTTTGCTTCTGTTGCATTCAATCCCGCAAATTTTTGCGGAATCCGAGGAAGATGGGTAGAGAGAGAGACTGCGGCTCCGGCTGCAACCGAAGAGAGAGAAAGAGAGACTGCCGGCCGGCGGCCGCTCAAAGAGAGGGGATAGAAAAGGAAGAGAGCCACGGCGGGTCGATCGGCCGCCGTCGGAGACAAAACAGAGAGATAGGTAGGGATGGCAAAAATATCCGTAACCGTGGATATCCGTCCGAATCCGACCTAATCGGGTAGGGTAAAACTCGAACCCGAAGGAAATTTAGTGGGTACGGGTAAAACCCGAACCCAAATATTGCGGGTAATGGGTGGGCATGGGTTTCTCAGTATCCAACCCGAACCCGCCCGATTATACACATACATATGTATTTTGTCTAGAAATAGTCATTATTTTTCTCTAACATATTTTATATTTGGCATATAAATATAATCTTTTCATGAAATTGTGTTGTTTTAATTAATTTTCTTCATTCTAGTGAATTATTGTCATACTTTTCCTCTTGCGTAATGTGAGAATACGTGTGAATGTTAACATATTAGTTGGAGTTATAAAGAGAAATCATTACCCATGGATAACCGTGGATACCCGAAACCCGAACGGGTATGGACATGATTTTAATTTTCTACCCGTTTCATATGTGGGTATGGGTATGGGTAAAACCCGAACTACTTTGGGTAGAGTAACGGATATGCACTATCCGTCTCCGACCCGACCCATTGCCATCCCTAGAGATAGGGATTAGGGATGACAACCATGAAAATTTGTTAAGGTGCGCAACCAAAAAAAACATAGCTTATATTAAAATCTTTTACAATCATCCCTCGATCTGTTTCATAATCTGAAAAGTTTCTAAAATATATCCATCATTCAAATTATTAGGGATGTTAATTTCAGTATAACCAACCAAAAGTTCGTTCATAATTTTATCATAGGTCCTATTTGAAGTGTGTTCTTCACGTAGTTCATAACAGAAAATGTTCTTTCAAACACTTATTGTGGCAACCTGAAGCAACAATTAATGCCAATTTTAGCAGTTGATAGACAAATGGAAACACTCGACGTTTTCTTGATGCACTCTTTTCTGTAGAAAACTCTGTGATTCTCTTTAATTAATCCTGCAAAACTCTCAAGTGTCTTCATATAAAATGTATAAGCATCTAGTTGATGGAAGTCAAGATGTCAAATGTTAACTTTAGAGAGAATGAATAAAAGGTAGCAAGTTTCACTAACTTCTCATTGTCAAAGTCAACACATAAATCATCGAATATACACAAAATTTAATAATTCGATCTATGACACTAACTTATTTTTTGGTGCGATCTATGACACTAAATTTAGTTGTATACACACAAAAATAAACAAAGTACCAAAGTCCATATTCGTAATAGACAGAGCCAAGCCCATTTTGTTTGTGTAGCGTGATGTACCTAATTTTGGGTGAAAATATAATTAATTCACATTTACGCATATTTAGGAGAATGAACTCTACATATATACAATTAAATCCACACTAGCATCAAATTGCTAATAATACAATATTCTTCCTTAAAAAAAACTATATTCTTCTAACTTACTCTTATTTCCCCCAACAACACCACAACTAATTACGCTCTCTCTAATCCATACTCCTCCGTCAAAGCGATAATCATCGATTTCTATTTCCTCTTACAACCCTCCTTAACACTTTTCGACCGTTAGTTGCTAATGATTGTTTAATGGATACATTAAAAGAGATTAACCGAAGAAATTAAACAAAATGTATTTTATAATTTTTTTTAGAATAAAACATGTCGTGGTTATTTATAAAAACAGTAATAGTATTAGTCAATTATTTATTTTGCTATGGATTTTGCACATTATTTTTTTAGTTATATGTATTTAATATTTATATTCTGAAAAATTATACACATGGTTCCAGCCACTCATAATCTTGTCTTGTGCTTAGTTTATTTGAATTAGAAGACTAGACCGGCTTTTTGTATAAATAGATATGCACTTATAATTTCTCACCGCCCGGATCCGTGGCGCAATGGTAGCGCGTCTGACTCCAGATCAGAAGGTTGCGTGTTCGATTCACGTCGGGTTCAATTTCCCCGATCCAAACGGTCCGTTTTTTCCCCATTTTTGCCGGCTCCACCCATTTTCCATGTTCACCACCACACCGTATCATTTCCCTAAAACCCCTCACAAACCTGAGATTCTCGAAGAAACCCTAACCACTTCCAGTTCCTTCACAGAGCTCTCTTCCTTCCCTCTCTACCGATCTCAATCCAGCAACAACAATGGCGTTCTTCTCCCGCCTCCGTCTCCAATCCCTCACCGCCGCCCACCGCGGGCGCTGCAACTTCTCCACGATCCTATCGCCGGACTCCAAGACTCCCCTCTCCGCCAAGGACAAAACCCTCGCCGCGCTCTCCCTCCTCAAATCCGAGCAGAACCCTGAGAAAATCCTCGAGATCTGCCGCGCGGCGTCTCTGACTCCCGACCTCCACCTCGACCGCATCGCCTTCTCCGTCGCCGTCACCAAGCTCTCCGAATCCAACCAGTTCTCCTACGTCAAGCAGCTCCTCGACGAGCACCGCCGCGACCGTCCCGACCTCCGCACCGAGAAATTCGCCGCTCAGGCCATCGTCCTCTTCGGCCAGGCCAACATGGTCGACGACGCGATCGCCACCTTCAAGAAGCACCACGAAGACGCCGGCTCCGAATCCGGTTCGGTGAAGACGCTGAACGCCTTGCTCTTCGCCTGCGCCACCGCGAAGAACTACGCCGAGGTAAAGCGGATCTTCGTCGATTTCCCTGCAATCTACTCAATCAGTCCGAATCTAGACACTTATAACACCGTGATCAAGTCGTTTACCGTGTCCGGTAGTTTGAGCTCGGTTTACTCGCTCCTGGGAGAGATGAAGAAGAACAGAATCAAGCCTAACGCCACTACTTTCTCCCACCTGCTGGCGGGGTTCTACAAGGAAGAGAAGTTTGAAGAAGTAGGGAAAGTTTTGGACATGATGAAGACAGAGTACTCGATCTCCCCTGGAACTGCTACCTACAATGTCAGGATTCAGAGCTTGTGCAAGCTGAAGCGAGCTCGGGAAGCAATGGCTTTGCTCGATAAGATGTTGAAAGAAGGCCCCAGGCCGAATGCCACTACTTTCGCTGAGTTGATTCAAGGGTTCTGCAGCACAGGGGATTTGGAGGAAGCCAAGAAGCTCTTTAAGAGCATGGTGGGCAGGGGACATCAGCCTACCGTCGAGTGCTACTTCACTTTGATCTACTACTTGTGCGTGGGGAAGGATTTCGATGCTGCTTTCGGGATTTGTAAGGAGAGTATGGAGAAGAAATGGGTACCGAATTTCTCGACGATGAAGCTGTTGGTGAATGGGCTTGCGGGTGAAGGGAGAGTTGAGGAGGCGAAGGAGCTTGTAGGGCAAGTGAAGGAGAAATTCTCCAAGAATGCTCATATCTGGGATGAGGTTTTGGCTGGCTTGCCACAGTGAGGTAAAACATTTCTTTGGGGGGTTTGTTTCCATTGACATTGAACATGACAGGCTAGAAATGCAGATAATTTTTATACGACAGTGGTAGCTCATGACGGTTTAGGCGAATACATAATAATGCGCGATCAGTTCGCTGGCTGCTCATTGAGATCGAGTGCCTTCATGGGTTTTGGTTCTCCATGTAAATGTGGATTAGTCACATGAATGATGAAACTTTGATGTCACCTCTGTCAATTAGTCGCAGTCGCATGTTTGTGGCCAGATGTGTTAAAGTTGCCTGAGAAGCTCCTTTTGTGATCTGTATCTGCACTTGCTCCCCATTTCTTAGCCGTAAATGAAACTGCAGACTGATATTGTGTTCGTAGGATGCATATAACTTGGCTTCACTCGCCGATTTAACGAGAATCATAATATATACATTTGCCAGGAACCTCAAACATCGCCTTCAATTCTGCTACAGAAGACTGACTACAAACCGAATCAGTAGTCCAACTTCGTAACACTCTGCTGTACATTCTGACAACAAAATTCATCAGTTCTTCACGTCTCAGTATCGCTTCCGAATTCTGATGCTGCAATTACACCATTCTTACGACTTCAAAGAAGACAGTGCTGATTTGCTTGGTTGCTCGGACCCCTTTTTACGCCGTTCAGGTATTCAACTATGAAAGGTATGATTTCCTGGCGAGTGTAGTGCAGATCTGTTGTTCAGGTATTTAGCTCCGTATGCTACGCTAGAACCGACTGTCGTCGAGGCCACCAGCCAGCTGCAATAATCAGTCGAGAATGGTCAATGCCAATAGCAAATAATGATTTAAACAAGTTTATATGATCAAGAGTGTAATGTAGCAGGCAGGCAGTCAGAATTACCTCAAAACCACTCCTCCGCCGCCGAGCTATTTCTTCCCGATTTCTCCTCAAAGATGACCCCGTACGGTGTCGCGGTATTCGCGACAGCAGCGGAGGAGGAGGAGGAGGAGTTGATCTTGCTCTTAAACGAATCGAGCCGCGAATTCAACCTAATCAGAGCCTCCGCCCTCCTTTTCCTCAGCAGCGCCGAGGCGGCACCGTTCCCGCGCAGGTGGAGTGGGGTCGAGGACTGCAGCAGCTTCCACGGCGGCGAAACGAGGAAGAGAGGGCCTCGAAGAAGAAGCGGAGCTGCGATCCATTTCGAGAGCGGAGAGAGGAAGCAGTGAGGCGGGTGAAGACGGAGAGCGAGGGAGGAATGTAAGGAGAGCATAAGGGGAAGGGGAAGGGGAAGTGGAGGCGGATGCGGTGAGGAAGCTTCGGTGATACGTTAGGGTTCCGGCGACGGCATTTAGTTTCTGTTGTTTCGACGTCAGAACTCGTACGGAGTAACGTATTTTTGGGGAAAATTTTACGATGCAAGCATATAACATTGATACTATAATTATGTTATAGTGTTCACTTGTTTTTATTGTAAATCAGTATTTATCCAATTTCGTACAATTGTAGATTAAGGAATGAAAAGAATGTGTAACATCTGTGGTTTAATAATGAAAAAAAGGATATGACATACGAGTGAAGTCCAAAATGTAGCATGCTTGACAAATGTTCGAATGTTATGATCCATTTCAAAGAAGGTACAAATTCTTATATAAAACCAATGAAAGAAAGTACATCGCGTTGTCGTATTATTAGAACGCTCGATCGATGATCAATATTATCGTAGTTTGTATGGAATCATGCGAAATGATAAGAGTTTAGAAGAACACGTTTCTTATAGATTTATAGAAATACCATCCACCCAAAAAACTTGAACAAAATTTGTGCATGCTACACTCCCATACAATCAACAAATCGAACACAAAAGTATGTCATACACATTCTAGCGATAGGTATCAAAGTCATCATCTTGCTTAAGTACTCGATAACCAAACCTCCCGGAGATCCCAATGCCATCCCGAGCAACATCCGCGGCGGAGCACATCCCCAGATGAAGCAGCCCGCCGCCGCCGCCGGCACCGGCTTTCTTCCTTCCCCACCGGATCCTAAACGGCCAAAACGATCTCCCACTACCACTTCTTGAAGCCATTTTCCTGGAATTCCCTTGCGCTTGAAGGCTCCCTGAAGCAACAGTAAAATACTCGATCTCTTTCCTCACCAGTGCACCCACCGTGCCACGTGTCCCGATCGCCACCGGCGCCGCCGCCGCCATTTTTTTCCGCCGGGAGAGATGGGTTGGTGGAGCAGCTAGCTGCAGGTTTGAATTGCAGGAAACGGGAGAGAACTATAGCTTGGTTTTACAAAGTTTTTTTTTTTTTAAACATAATGTGGGGAGTGAGGTTGTGTGGTTATTTGAGAAACTGTGTTCACCAGTTTAGTAATAAGAAGTGGGGAGCTGAATGAATGAGTTGTTGCGTGATTGAAGGACCATAGAGATGGGAAGATATTAGCTTTAAGAATAATGGATATGAGAAAGGTTTCATCTTTATTCTTCTTCATGTGTGACCAAATCATGATTTTTAGTTGGGGATGCTTAAAATAATTGAAAATAATCATAAGGGACGATAACGGGCAAATAACTATTAACTTCTGAATCAGAATATGGTCGCGTCTTGGATTAATAACTTATGAATTATGTGATTTTTTTTATAGCGGATTATTGCATAGTGATTAAAATATAGTGAACTAGGGCGTTCTCGGGTCGGGTTATGGAACTTGGGAATGAGATTGAAATAGAGATTTAGAAGGAATTAGAAATTTGTATACGAATTCGAATATTAGATATTGAAGAACATAATTGATGAAGAAAGGGAAAATCGGGCTGGTGGCATTGATAGGGAAAAGCGATGAGATTTCAGAGGATTAGAAAAGACTAGGGTTGAGATACTTTTCGTATTAACTTCTTTGATTGATTCTAAATAAATACCCAAACTACATATTTATAATTAAAAAAATCAAAAAAACTGATAAATAATCTAATACTCCTTGACTTTTACTAAACCGGATACTACTGATGGAAACCCAATGTTTCCATGACAGAACGTGTCATCTCTGTTGCGATTTCATTTGCCATCATCAAAATCATAGTCATGTTCTTAGCATTGTGAAATCGAGAATCAAATTCAGACAAATAGATCACAAGTAATTCTGAATTAGCGAATTCATAGACGGGTAAACTACTCCGAATTTCCCATCACAATTGAATATTATAATAAGAAGGGAATTGAGCTCATAATAATCCTTTGCCTCCTTTTGCTTTGCGTGTGTGCTTGTGCTCATTGTGCTGAAGCATTGAGAGCCCGTGTCGCTCTCATCATTTGTCGTCGGCGTGAATCAGAAACATGCACGGCAATTATAAGCCGTGAATTGATTGTGGCGGCAGGCAGCTCCACTTGTGGCATTAATCATCATTATCTTAACTAGGCAGGTATACACAATTGCTGGCTGCTGCAAATCTTGATGTATTGAGAGAGTGATTGCGATCACTATTCATGTAGATCAGGGTTTGACACAAAGCAATGAGATAGTGATACTCAGCAACTGAGCTTATGTGATGTACTGATGTAGGAATGGGTGACAGACTGGCAGATTTTTATCATCGTGATCGATCACGTTGTCAAAATCGCGCTTTAAAACTTATATTTTTATGCTTCTAGGTAACCAAAACGCTTTTACGCGTATAATCACCGTTTTTATAACTATTATAGTTAAAAAACTATGCTTTAAAGTTTAAAAACTTACGATTTTTTACGCTTCTAGATTACCAAAATTGAAAATACTTCTAGGTAGAAGTACGCTTTTGACTTACATTGATTGTGACAACTGGAAACAATTTCCGGACGTTTGAATGTTCGGACCGACTCGTTATGCCTCAAGCTCATTCATCGCTTCCACGGGATTGGAATACTGTTCTGGCTTTTGTTTCAAATCATATCTAGCAGTTCCTTCCTTGTATCTCAAAATCGATCTTAGAATATATTAAAGGGGTTTGAGAAAAACACCCACTCCACGTCAGCCTTAAACGCCTCTCCTGAATTCTCGGTAGATTTTATTTTATTTTTTCCTTTTCTTTTTTATCGTTGGTTGGGCGCGCGCACTTCAATTTTTTACTTTTTTTTTCAATTAACTCTTAACCCGACCTTTAAGCATGCATACAAGATCCCAGTAAAAAAAAAAAAAAAACATGCATACATGATTTCATATAAAAAATTATTTTGTGAATTTTCCTTTCTAAATGAAAAGTGAACCCTTTCTCTGAAAGTTGGGTATACCGTTTTTTTTAAGGGAAAAATAACTTTTTTTTAATCGAAGAGAAAAATATCCTATTTAAGTTTGTTTGTTAGTTTGGACTTAATCACCAGATTTTAAATGTTGCAGTAGTTATTTTAGAATGTGTTAGATAATTACTAAAAGTAACTAAAATATACATCATAGATTCCAGATGAATAACAAATGTCTCAATTTTGATAATAATTAAACTTCTATATTATATTTTTTCATTGTAAAGATATTTTTGGGAGGCAATGTGTGTAACACCCTAGACCGGCCGGTCACATAATTTATCAAAACATCCTTGATAACCATAAAATGTTCAATATGAAAAGTACGGTAGAAATATCACATCAATCAAATCTGAATTTAAAAGGGAAACACATTCTTAATCCGGAAAAGCGAACATCCGTCTCAAGTCCACTAACGAACAATGCATAAACTTAAAGTTCTTCGTGAAGCTTCCTTAGCCACTAACCCCTCTGATGACATCCTGAACAGCAACTGTGCACCTGTAGGTGGTCTACAAGCTCCTGGTTTCCAGCAGCTCCTGAATACGGGCGTTGGGGTCAGTCCTAATCCTAATTCCATTCTTTACATAATATATATAAAATGAAGCAAAATGCAAATGGTTGCAAATGTTCATGCATAAAATATTTACTGGACTTGTAAATGATTTTCTTGAAATAGACATTCTTTACGAAAAGGGGCCCCGAGCTCAACTTACCTAGCACGCCACCACGATCACTGAAATACTTAAACATGATCTCATTACCCAGGAGTAGGGTTCGTAACCTCCTTATTACCCAGGAGTGGGGTTCGTAACCTCCTTATTACCCAGGAGTAGGGTTCGTAACCTCCTTCATCATAACATGAGGTGACCGTGTGCGGCTAGCTAAGTGAGGTTTAAAACATGTTCTTACTTGCTTATAAACTTGGACATGAATCTCATAAACGCATAACTCGACACATAAATATCGTATAAGGCATACCGATTAACTCGAATAACATGCGTAATAAATAATTCTGAATGGAATACTAACTAGCCCCCTTAAACCACGCACCTTATTAACTCAAGACGCTTACAACTTGAAGATTGGTACCCTTCACTTGGGTGATCGCCTCTTGATCCTATGGCGAAAATAGAGGTTAGATCGGTTTGATTCGGGTTCTTAGCGACGGGTTTCTCGACTTGGAGCTATTTTGCAATATGTGCAAAGTATGGTATATTAATGTACCCATTAATTTATCATACTAAAAACTTTAAGCAGCCAATTTAATTACTCGATAAATGTGCCTAATTCACTTACCTAGCTGCATTCAGGAAGCATAATATAACACATTTTACCTTATTGAATAAACTAGCAAATTTACCCATTAACATATTATCTTCTAGTTTAATTTGTCGAAACATTCTACCGGCAACGCTAATAATTTGCTAACTAATCACTAAGATATGTTCACCTATCAACTTGTTTAAAGAACCACTCAACAACATTATTCATCAAATTCGGGTTGATTAACTAAACTTTCCCATTCCTTTAACTATCTCAAATTAAATCATTGCATTAATTGCTAAGTTAATTAAGTGATGACATTCTACTCCATAAACTAATATAATTACCTATTAATTATCTTAACCAAAGTAATTTATTGGTTACACATTTAATCGACCTAAACTACTCCAATTAACCATATATAATTGCCGTGTAGTAACTTAAGAATTTAAATAGCAACTCCTCCAGGTCCTTTAGTAACCGTCACAGAATTGGTCACTAAAACACATTACTAATCGTCCCCAAAAGGGCTGCTGTTGGTTCTTATGGGTTAGCTTTTAGTGACGGTTGAAAGATCGTTGTTAAAAACCTGAAATCTGGTCGCTAATCTCCCAGGATTCTACTAACTCGTATAACCCACAAGAATGTCGAACTTAATTTAAGGGATCAGGCTTCCTTACCTTTAATACGAGTCTAGGCCTAGCTAGGAAGCCTTAGGACCTCAGTTCCTTGTTTGAATCGTCGTTTGGTCACCCCGCTCTTTCGCCGCCGAAGCTACGCCATAGAAAGACCATTTGTTTGTTAGTTATGTAGCCTTGAAGCTTGAATGGCGAGGGGATTCGTTTTGCTTACCTACTGGTCGAGATAGAATGGGAGATACGAAGTTGGTAGCTATGGGTCGCACCTTCCTCCTCCGGTGATGACGATGACGGCGACGATGAGCTAGAGGTTGGCGGACGGAAGGAGGGAGTGAGCTTGATGATGATGGGATGAACTTCTAGTCTTGAGAGTTAGCAGTACTGATGGGAGGTATTGAGGTTGGGAGGAATGGCTTTGATGGTGCAATTTACGGGCGATCGGGGGAAGAAGGATCGTTAATTTATTGAACTGAAGAGAAGGGTTCATGATAGGGAGGGTGCACCGACACCATTGCCAGCTCCTCATGTCCCTCCAATTTAATGTCCAACTCCCCATGTCAGAGGCGTGAATGGAGTTATTACATTTCCTCCCCCGTTATAAAAATTTCGTCCCCGAAATTGAGAAACTGAGTGCATAAGACGTTCATGATTCTTTACTTTCATCACCCATCATATCTTATTACTGGCAACAAATCATAATCAAATTATACAGATTACAAAGGTATGTCAAGAAACAACTCAGGATAGTTTTTCCTCATGTCCTCCTCGATCTCCCAAGTGGCTGCTTCTGTGCCTTGGTTCCTCCACACCACCTTCACCATTGGAACCTTTTTCCTTCGTAGCTCCTTATCTTGGCGGTCGATGATCCCAACTGGTATCTCATTATAGGTCATGTCATTATCCAGTTGAATATCTTCTAACTCCACGATGTGGGTTGGGTCGGATCGGTATCCCTTGAGCATGTTGACATGGAATACATTGTAGATCTTGGACAAATTTGGAGGTAGTGCGAGACTATACGCCAGAGGGCCTACCCGCTCCAATACTTCATATGGTCCAATGTATCTTGGACTCAACTTGCCCTTCTTTCCAAATCTCATAACTCCTTTCCATGGAGAAACCTTCAAGAATACCTTATCGCCCACTTCATGAGTCCTCTCCTCTCCTGGCTTGTCTGCATAGCTCTTTTGACGATCCTGAGCAACTTTAATGTTTTCTCGTATTTTCTTAACTTTGTCGACTGTATCTTGTACTAGTTGTGGGCCCTCAATTTGCCTTAATCCTTCCTCATCCCAATATAGGGGAGATCTACACTTTCTCCCGTACAAGGCCTCATATGGTGCTGCCTTTAGGGAGCTGTGGTATTGATTATTATAAGCAAACTCCATCAGAGGGAGATACTTGTCCCACGATCCCCTCATCTGCAATGTACAAGCCCTCAATAAATCCTCCAACGTTTGTATCGTCCTCTCTGTCTGTCCATCAGTCTGCGGATGATATGCAGTTGAGAAATGAAGTTTGGTGCCCAAAGCCTTGTGAAGGCTCTTCCAAAACTGGCCAGTGAAACTAGGATCTCGGTCTGATACTATGGTTAGAGGAACTCCATGTAGTCGTACCACCTCTTGTATGTATAAGTCTGCTAATGCATCCACCCCCGGCTTGAACTTTATGGGGATGAAGTGTGCTGACTTAGTGAGACGATCTACAATTACCCAAACTCCATCATTACCCCACTCCGTCCTCGGTAGCCCGTAGACAAAATCCATAGTGATGTGTTCCCACTTCCACTCCGGTATCTCAAGTGGCTTTAGTTTCCCTGCTGGAGCTTGGTGCTCAGCTTTCACCATTTGACAGACCAAACACTTGTGCACAAACTTAGCTGCCTCCCTCTTCATATTGGGCCACCAAAAATGTTCCTGCAAAGTCCGGTACATCTTGGTCGATCCTGGATGCATGGCATAAGGTGCACAATGAGCTTCATCCAGGATCTCTTGCCTCAAATTCTCTATGTTAGGTACACAAGCTCTGCCCTGGAAGAGTAACATCCCATTTGTGATTTCAAACTTAGTATCTTTCCCATCTTGTACCTCTTGAATAAACTTGGCCAAAACTGGATCATCCTTTTGCTTCTCCTTAATTCGATCATGCAATAGTGGTCTAATCTTCAAATTAGCCATCATGCTAGTAGCGTCCTCCAGTTGTAGTTCCACATTCATAGCCCTGAGTGCCACAAGCTCAGATATTGGGCCATGGTCCTTCCTGCTTAGTGCATCAGCCACCACATTAGCTTTCCCAGGGTGGTACTCAATGGTACAGTCATAATCACCCAAAAACTCCACCCATCTTCTTTGTCTCATATTCAACTCTTTTTGATCCGTGAGATGTTTCAAACTCTTGTGATCCGTGAAGATCTTGAGAGTCTCACCATAAAGATAGTGTCTCCATAGTTTTAGAGCAAACACGACTGCAGCTAACTCCAGATCATGGGTTGGGTAGTTTACCTCATGTGGTCGTAATTGCCTCGAGGCATAAGCGATCACCTTCTTATTTTGCATAAGAACACACCCCAACCCCTTGTATGATGCATCACTATAAATGGCATACTCTCCCTCGCTTGATGGTAGCGTGAGTACTGGTGCAGTAGTAAGCTTCCTCTTCAGCTCCTCAAATGCTTCCTGGCATTCCTTACTCCAGACATAAGTCATTCCCTTGCGCAGTAGTTGGGTCAGAGGTCTAGCAATGCGAGAGAAACCCTCAACAAACCTTCTATAGTATCCAGCCATGCCAAGAAAACTTCTCAATTCTGGAACATTTTTCGGAGGTGCCCAATTTACCACTACCTCAATTTTCTTTGGGTCTACTTCAACTCCTCTTCCAGAAATCACGTGGCCCAGAAATAATACTTCTTTTAACCAGAATTCACACTTGGAGAACTTTGCATACAGTTTCTTTTCCCTCAACATCTCTAATGTGATCCTCAAGTGTTCTTTATGCTCCTCATAGTTCTTCGAGTATATTAGAATGTCATCAATGAATACAATGACAAACTTATCCAAGTACTCATGGAATATGTTGTTCATTAGTGCCATGAATGCTGCCGGTGCATTGGTCAATCCAAAAGGCATTACCAAGAATTCGTAGTGGCCATATCGAGTACGAAAGGCTGTCTTTGGGATAGAGGATTCAGCCACCCGCAACTGGTGGTACCCCGACCTTAGATCAATCTTAGAGAACACAGAGGCACCCTGAAGTTGATCAAACAAGTCGTCTATCCTGGGTAATGGATATCGGTTCTTCACCGTTGCCTTATTTAGCCTCCTGTAGTCGATACACATCCGCATACTGCCATCTTTCTTCTTGACAAATAGCACCGGGGCTCCCCATGGAGAGATACTAGGGCGAATGAAACCTTTGTCCAGTAGTTCTTGCAATTGCTCCTTCAACTCCTTCAGTTCTACTGGCGCCATTCGGTATGGTGGTATCGAAATTGGTGCAGTACCCGGTACAACTTCAATGTCAAACTCGATCTCTCTCCTTGGGGGTAAACCGGGGAGATCTTCTGGAAACACATCCGGGAACTCCTTGACAATGTCCACCTCTTCGAGCTTCACTTCCGGTGTGGTAGTAACATGAGCCAAATAAGCTTCACACCCATCTTGAATCAGTGCGAATGCTGTGGTTGCAGATATCAAACTTCCTGGAATGGCCCTACGTATCCCCTTGAAAACAGCCATTCCTCTTCCTTCCAAGTCAAATCGAACCTCCTTGTTGAAACAATCCACTACCGCTCTGTGCTTGGATAGCCAATCCATTCCCAAGATAATATCGAATTCATCAAAAGGAAGTAACATAAGGTTTGCCTCCAGTTCATACCCAGCGACTTCCACTATGCACTCTCTGACTATGGAATTAACTATCAACGTATCACCCACAGGTGTACGCACCCCCATATTCTGATTGAGGTGTACAGGTACCATCCCTAAGGTTCTAGCAAAAGCAGTAGATACAAAGGAATGCGTAGACCCAGGATCTATCAAGGCAAAAGCAGGACGGTTATGAATATAAACCATACCAGTCACAACCTCTGGGGCTGCGTTAGCTTCTTTTCTCCCCATAGCAAAGAGTCTGGGTTGCCTGCTAGCTTTATCATTGAATCTCCCGCTTGATTGCATCCTTCCTCCACCAACCGAAGGCTCAGATACGGCCATAGTTCGTCCCGTGAATCGTGGACAATTGGCCTTTTTATGCCCCGGCTGACCACATCCAAAGCAGAGGCCTAGCTTGAACCTGCACTCCCCCGGATGATGCTTCTCACAAAATTGACAGAGCGGGTACTGTGTCTGGTACTGCGTGGGTGCACTCCTGTTAGAGCCTGCCTTGCTATGGGAAGGCAGCTGGAGGGTAGAACCAGGTCCTCTCTTAGAAGGGTGAGTTGAGAGAGTCTGGCTCCCCGAGTAGGTGGACTCTTTCCTCTTTCGAACATCGAATCTAGCAGCCCTCTCTTCCTGAGCCATCTTCTCATCCTTCTCGATGCGAAGGGCAGCCCGATAAGCTATGGATTGAGATATCCTCTCCGCTTCTCCCATACATTTCTTAATTTCTGCTTTCAAGCCTCGAATATAGCGATCTCGCATCCCTGTCGCTGTTCGGTATGCGGGATCAGCATATTTGCACAACTTCTTAAATTGCTCAGTGTATTCAGCGACAGTCTGCCCCCACTCCTGCTTCAATTTCATGAACTCCTCTCTCTTGTCATCTCGAATGGAGTCGGGGATATACTCATCAAGAAACATCTTTATGAATCGATTCCAGGTGATTGCTAGAGGTACTTCTTCACTTTCTGGTTGGAGGTGCCACCAATCTCTTGCTGTCCCCTGGAGTACGTGTACCGCCATGGCAATCCTATCCTCATCATTGTCGATACGAAGCTCATCTAGGGTTCGGGTGAGCTTCAAAAGCCACGCATCAACCACCTCGGGGTCAGAAGATCCCTCAAAGTCAACGACTCCCATTTTTCTGAGTGCGACATAATTTGGAGGTGGGCGTCGACCACCACCTTGCGGAGCGCCTCCCATATTCATACTCCTACATGAGGGCAATGACTTTCGTCAGAATCTTGAAGACATCGTGCTTATTAGTAGACGAGACTGGATGTTCTAAAACAATTTTGGCTTCCATGAAAACTTTGTTAAAAAGTTTTTAAAACATTCCGAGCTTGTTAAAAACATGGAGACCGACTTCCCAGTATCTCACTTAAAAGTGAAGACAAAGGGAAACCGGCTCTGATACCAAAATGTAACACCCTAGACCGGCCGGTCACATAATTTATCAAAACATCCTTGATAACCATAAAATGTTCAATATGAAAAGTACGGTAGAAATATCACATCAATCAAATCTGAATTTAAAAGGGAAACACATTCTTAATCCGGAAAAGCGAACATCCGTCTCAAGTCCACTAACGAACAATGCATAAACTTAAAGTTCTTCGTGAAGCTTCCTTAGCCACTAACCCCTCTGATGACATCCTGAACAGCAACTGTGCACCTGTAGGTGGTCTACAAGCTCCTGGTTTCCAGCAGCTCCTGAATGCGGGCGTTGGGGTCAGTCCTAATCCTAATTCCATTCTTTACATAATATATATAAAATGAAGCAAAATGCAAATGGTTGCAAATGTTCATGCATAAAATATTTACTGGACTTGTAAATGATTTTCTTGAAATAGACATTCTTTACGAAAAGGGGCCCCGAGCTCAACTTAACTAGCACGCCACCACGATCACTGAAATACTTAAACATGATCTCATTACCCAGGAGTAGGGTTCGTAACCTCCTTATTACCCAGGAGTGGGGTTCGTAACCTCCTTATTACCCAGGAGTAGGGTTCGTAACCTCCTTCATCATAACATGAGGTGACCGTGTGCGGCTAGCTAAGTGAGGTTTAAAACATGTTCTTACTTGCTTATAAACTTGGACATGAATCTCATAAACGCATAACTCGACACATAAATATCGTATAAGGCATACCGATTAACTCGAATAACATGCGTAATAAATAATTCTGAATGGAATACTAACTAGCCCCCTTAAACCACGCACCTTATTAACTCAAGACGCTTACAACTTGAAGATTGGTACCCTTCACTTGGGTGATCGCCTCTTGATCCTATGGCGAAAATAGAGGTTAGATCGGTTTGATTCGGGTTCTTAGCGACGGGTTTCTCGACTTGGAGCTATTTTGCAATATGTGCAAAGTATGGTATATTAATGTACCCATTAATTTATCATACTAAAAACTTTAAGCAGCCAATTTAATTACTCGATAAATGTGCCTAATTCACTTACCTAGCTGCATTCAGGAAGCATAATATAACACATTTTACCTTATTGAATAAACTAGCAAATTTACCCATTAACATATTATCTTCTAGTTTAATTTGTCGAAACATTCTACCGGCAACGCTAATAATTTGCTAACTAATCACTAAGATATGTTCACCTATCAACTTGTTTAAAGAACCACTCAACAACATTATTCATCAAATTCGGGTTGATTAACTAAATTTTCCCATTCCTTTAACTATCTCAAATTAAATCATTGCATTAATTGCTAAGTTAATTAAGTGATGACATTCTACTCCATAAACTAATATAATTACCTATTAATTATCTTAACCAAAGTAATTTATTGGTTACACATTTAATCGACCTAAACTACTCCAATTAACCATATATAATTGCCGTGTAGTAACTTAAGAATTTAAATAGCAACTCCTCCAGGTCCTTTAGTAACCGTCACAGAATTGGTCACTAAAACACATTACTAATCGTCCCCAAAAGGGCTGTTGTTGGTTCTTATGGGTTAGCTTTTAGTGACGGTTGAAAGATCGTTGTTAAAAACCTGAAATCTGGTCGCTAATCTCCCAGGATTCTACTAACTCGTATAACCCACAAGAATGTCGAACTTAATTTAAGGGATCAGGCTTCCTTACCTTTAATACGAGTCTAGGCCTAGCTAGGAAGCCTTAGGACCTCAGTTCCTTGTTTGAATCGTCGTTTGGTCACCCCGCTCTTTCGCCGCCGAAGCTACGCCATAGAAAGACCATTTGTTTGTTAGTTATGTAGCCTTGAAGCTTGAATGGCGAGGGGATTCGTTTTGCTTACCTACTGGTCGAGATAGAATGGGAGATACGAAGTTGGTAGCTATGGGTCGCACCTTCCTCCTCCGGTGATGACGATGACGGCGACGATGAGCTAGAGGTTGGCGGACGGAAGGAGGGAGTGAGCTTGATGATGATGGGATGAACTTCTAGTCTTGAGAGTTAGCAGTACTGATGGGAGGTATTGAGGTTGGGAGGAATGGCTTTGATGGTGCAATTTACGGGCGATCGGGGGAAGAAGGATCGTTAATTTATTGAACTGAAGAGAAGGGTTCATGATAGGGAGGGTGCACCGACACCATTGCCAGCTCCTCATGTGCCTCCAATTTAATGTCCAACTCCCCATGTCAGAGGCGTGAATGGAGTTATTACAATGTGTTTATATGCTCTTGAAATTCATTGTTTGTTCATTATATAAGATAATCAATAATCAATTTTGTGTACTCATTGGTGTTAATCCAAATATAGAAAACAATTATTTTATATGATAACCATTTCAATATTATGGTGGGTAAATGTTTTATATTACCTACATTGAGACTTCATAAATCATGATTGCAACTGTTTTACAAATATTAGAGCAATGAATATACATGACTAACCATGATAAATTATGAGAATTTTGAACATATGTCTACCAACGACAAAGTCGATAATCAATATTCCTAAATTTGTAGTTGATTATATTGACATTGAGATATGAAGTTATGATGTTAAAAACACAAAATATTTGATTGAGTATTGAGTGCCTGATTGAGAAGTATGCCACAAAGTCAAACATTCATATACTAATATTGACATCACACATGAGACATCACAAATTTTTTTTTTAAGAATGTGTTATAACAATATCATCAATTATTAATAACCAAAATAATTTGAACATATACAAGTCAACATAATTCATATATAATTAAATGAAATCCACCCGGCCAACAGGCCGGGTACAAAGCTAGTTACTAATGTAATCGATTTTCTTTAATTTGAATAAAACCGTGATAAGTAATATTTTGAACTTAGCCAAACCACACGCAACTCGGTTTGAATGAAAAACAAAAAACATACATATGGTGTAAAAAAGAGTGTTTGGTATATTTTCTATTTACTCATTTTTATCTAAATGTATATTACAGAATGCTGAAGTTTCCCTCTCGATAGCCTCAGAAAATTGGATGTTCTTTTTTACTCTTCGTTTGATTATTCCGTTACAACACTATGACCTAACAATCTAAACATATTCTTATTATTCCCTGCACCCTTCACTCTTTAAATCTGTATAACCTAACCACACTTCTCTTTGTGTCTTTTGCTCGTCACCCTCCTAGTACTAATGACTCAGATCAGAGTCGATGCATACCGGGGAGATGGCAAGAATACCTGAGTCGACGATGGCTGGCCAGAGCAGTCCGCAGTGCCACATCGATGCTCGCCCCTTCCCGGAACAGCAAATCGTACAGCATGCTGAGGAACTGAGATAGCCTGTCCTCATCATCGTCCCAGAAACCCATCGAATAGGCGCTGCACCCTCTCTCCGGTTCGCTGTCCTCCCAGTCGCTGGCGGCAGGGCTGGGAGGCTCAATGTCCTCGCTCTCGGCTTCGTCCTCCTCCCCGATCTCAAACTTCCCGTTCTCCATCGAGTTGAGGTCGCATCCCGATCCACTGGCAGTGGTCACCGGGATGTCCATGGGGTCTGCGGATGGACACACGACCGCTTTGGCCCCGGAGTCCAAGAAGGCTTTGATTAGTGTCTGGGATGGGCCGTATGTCCCCGTGCAAACGATGATCCTGTCTCTCCATGCTCCAACCTACGGGGAAAAGGGTTAACCAGATAAGAACTTTCAAAAGACTTGAATGGAGTTGCCCAATCAAGCAGCAAACTGAACATACCATCCATCGAACATCTTCAGGGGTTAAATGCATGGAAGGAACTGTTCTTCTGAACATATATGCCGCGATTTCTTGGTCGTCTTCCATTACCTTCATAACAGGAAAACCAAAGGATTTAGAGTGTCAGATAACCTACTAAGGTTTGGAACCCAGAGTATTCTTTGATCATTCACGTATTCAAAACCATACTTCGTTTTGCTATCATGTATTCTTCCGTTCCCTAGTTTTGATAATACATGTCCTCGTTTAAATTACAGAGACCATGAACTTCAGATCAGAACCCACGTATTTTAAGAATACTCGACTCCAAGAATTGTGGAAATCTTTGATAGTTTCAAAGCTTTAAGAAATACATTTTTCTTACTGAATGGTTAAAGGTCGTCCTAAAAATGACTAACCATCGTCCTAACTTAATATGTAATTTACCGAATTGCCCATTTTGAATTTCAAAATCAAACACAAAACAAACAACCCCTCCCCTTCCATAAATCTAAAAAAATATAAACCAAAATCCATTTATCTTATGGACCGAACCATAAATTGTAGTAAAAGAATAGAAAATTATTGATATAAAACAAAAAAATCCAAAAAAATTCCGAAACCCCTCAACGAAGCCAATTTTCGGTTGTACCATGGCTCAACCTAAGGCAATTTTCGGTTGTACCGTGGACCAACCGAAAATTGCATTAGGTTGAGCCATGGTACAACCGAAAATTGGCTTCGGTTGAGCCATGGTGCAACCTAAGGCAATTTTCGGTTGGTCCATGGTACAACCGAAAATTGCCTTAGGTTGAGCGGTTTTGGGTTTTTTTGAAAAAAAAAATTGGATTTTTACCTCATCGGAGTCGCTACTCATGATTCGGACGTATTCCCAACAATTACGACTCGAGAATGTCAACGATGAATTCGAGAGTGTGGGAAATTGAGTGTTTTTCCTTTTTTTAGTTAAAGTGATGTTTGTTTGCTAAAGATGACAAAAGGTTAAAAGTGTAACTTTGTTATTTTTTAGGACGATCAATAGTAATTTTAAGGACGACGTTTATCAATTCCCTTTTCTTATGCCTGACGACAAATGTTTATCATCCTTTCAAGCCAAGCTCTATAGTCTGACAATACAAGTATGTTAGAATTAGAAACCCTACGTCTAAGGTCACATGCATATATGGTAATCCAAGAACCCCTAATTTATAGAATTCCTTCATTGCAAGTACAAATTCTCGAAAGAAACACTTAATTAGAATCATGGTTCCAAAGCGACAAGTCAAACTGACATTAACCATGCAAATAAATCAGGATAAAGCAATTGACACATACCTGTGTCTGCCGTCCTATATAACGGTGGACAACGTTCCCGACTTGGAAATAAGGTCTGCAACGAACAAGATCGGCAACTGTCGAAATCTTGGAAAGAAATGATGTGACGTGCTGTCGGTGACACTTCATCATTGACAATAAACTAAGCTTCACACTCTGTAGAAACTTCTCAGCGAGCTCTCCAGGTTCAGCAACAACAAACACGTCATTCTGCCAACTAGGAGGAACAAAAGAAAAACTCCAGCAGTTGAGCACAATTGTTTCCAAGAAACAATGCTATTAAGACATCACGTTTCAACAAGAAGCAGAGAGGCATACCTTAGGATGGATCCAGACAAATCATTCTGAAGGGCTAAATGCACGATCCCAACTTGCGGTGCATTCTGCAGCGTTTCGTGCAACGATCTCACAGGCAAAGAGAACTGTTTCCGTGCTGTAGGAGAAATTGGTGGTGATGCTCCTGCTCTGACAGTCGTATTCCCATCCAAGCTCAAAGGTGGGACCATGTCAATTCGCCCAACTCGGTGTGAACCGAAGTCAGGACTGTACAAAAGTGGGCTCGATGGGAAGCTTCCGGTGATCAGAGGTGAGGCGAACGGCGATGCCACAACTGGCGGTACACTCTTAGAAATTCCCGATGCACTGTGAACATGAGATACTCGTATGTTGTTACGAGCCCAGAATGTCTCAAGCGCCCGGGCATGGTGCATGACTCTTCCAGAATCGGGGCTATGGAGAGCTTCGACGAGTAGTACATTACGCCTCCAACCCAAAGTGGGGCCACTCCCACCTGAGATTAGCAGAAGGATATAGCAACATTTTAGGTTGAAGATTAGTGATAAACGGAAGAAGATGAGGTTAAGGATTTGCACCAGTACCAGTAATGAACGTCTTTGCTCTTGGAAGTTGCTGCTGATTTTTAAAATCGGAGAACTTATCGTCGTTTTGCAATGGCAACACGAGTCTCTCACAGATGTTCTTTAAAGCTTCGGAGCTCTCTAGGATGTATTGTTCAACTGAAGCTTCCAACTTTAGCCACACAGCTGGGTCAGTTTCGTCCAGCTCCATATCACATCGTTCATCAACTTCGATTGGTCAAAACAATATGGGATAGTAAGAGCTAGAAGCGCTTTCAATAAAGCTGGCCTGTAACTATAATTTCATATATGAAATAGGCATATTCAACAAATCTCTTCTCACAGGCCAGATTTTTTTCACGATTGTATATACCGAGCCATAATGATAAATATTCTATCCTGAACAAACACAGTCAGATTTTACCTTGATTGAAACGAAAATATTGGATCTCAGGAAGCATTGGAAGTAACGTGCTTAAGGCTTCCTCCACTCGGTCAACAGAGCACGCACTTTCAATGAGCACCTGCCCAGTGTCGAGATAGCGCCAACCACCTTTCCGAGACTACAGCAAAGGAGATTTTCTCACAATCAAGAGTCGAGAGACCAAACAAGGTCCTCGTTAGAGGGCACATAAACTTAACATTCTTGATATGTTACTAGGAAGACAACTGATAAAACTCTAAAGGAACTAACAATTTGTAGTAACGAAGCCAAATTCGATGAGAGGCTCACCTTTGTGGGAACAGAACCACACCCAACTGAGACCAGGCAGTCAATTCTAGTGTCGGGCCAAAGAAGCTGTGCTTCTCTTATAGCAAAGATGGTAGGATTATTGGCCACAATAGCACCATCTTGCCAACGATTTATGTCTGCGGAAGTAATTAAGTTAGAACTTTTATAACTTAAGGGAATAACAAATAATATTACTGACTAGATGCATCGAGCGGATTACCATCAGAATAGTCATCGAGATAATATGGAGCAGCAGATGATGCTCTTATTGCTTGCCAAACGTGGTGTTTACAACTTCCAATAGAAGCACTGCGTTTGTATCCAATTTGGCTACCAGCAAAAGGAGATCCTAATACAGTGACCCCTGATCCCTCAGTAGGAGTGGATGGCACTTCTGGTGTTCCAACAGGGTACTAAATGGCGACACAAAAATGTCAGATGACAGGAGGAAAAAAGAAAATTTAGGGGTGTGTTTATTTCCTCGAATATTAAGTTCCTAACGTTTAAGTTGCAAAAAAAAGCTACAACACAGATACTCTTTCATTATAAAAAAAAAAAAAACTCTCTAATATCCCTCTAACTTCTCTGAAACCTTACCAAGCAAACTTTTTCTAAAATTATAAGTTTTAAGTTGCCAAATATAGGAGAAAATAAAACAAACACACTCTAATAAGTATCAACTAGGCATTTTATACATCAGACAACAAGCAAATTGCCAGGTTTTAGCAGATACCACTAGCAAGAAACCCAACCTGATAGTTGCGGAATATAAATGGTTGAGCTGGCATCATGCTAACCAAAGTTGAAACTACAAAAACTTTTGGAATGCCTTTCACTGCAGATTCTATCAGTAAATCACCGTCCTCGTCATCACACATTTCCTTTAACAGCCTCTCAAACTCATCTGCGCTGTGCTGCAAGACAGTAGGTTACAGCATCCACTAGGTAAAGGTTCACAAGCACGATATTAGAATCAGAAATAGTGTTCATCGAACTTATATCTTGACCATTCAAACATCACAGTACTTTCTCTTCTTTATAACAAGAACTTTAAGCATGAACTCCCTCTCATGGCCATCATATGAACCTTAAAAGTAAATTCTTATCGACGACAGAGGATAGATCTTGCAACTAGTGCAGGTTGTGTCATCAAAACAAAATAAACTAACTCAACATATCAAATTATAGATGTATGTATATGGGGAAAAATAAAAACCATACTTTGGATCCATGGACGACAACTCTAAAGCTCTGTGATGAGCTTTTGTAAAGCTGATCTAACTTTTCCCTCCAAGATGCAGCTTCATTATCCTTGGGCACAGGTTCAGCAAACACAAGTTTCCCTAACGAATAAAGTAATGAAGATAACTAATAAGTAGCCAACAAAAATGAACTTAATGAAAACATAATCGCCAGACACAACATACACACCAAGATTTTTGTATATCTCCTCGCATTCATCCAGGGTCATTTGCTTTATACCAAGAGCAACAGCCAACATTCCACCAGTTGATGTGCCACATATAAGATCAAATAACTCGTGTATGCGCTTTCCAGTTCCCTTCTCAATTGCCTTGAGAATCTGCACAGTGGCCAGACCTTTCATTCCACCCCCATCCATTGATAGAATACGCAGCCCTTGCTTAGCCACAGGTCTTGCCTTTATAGCACGCCTCAAGTTTTCATTCTCACCTGCAAGCAAAGACATTTCCTTTTGAATTTTACAATACACTCAGCAACCAGAAATATTGTTAAAAGTCAAGCTAAGGAAGCAAACCAAGAATCGCCAACGCTCGAGCAGCAGCTTTGTTCACACGAGGCTCAGCTGTAGCTGTCAACCGCAACAGAAGGTCCCGGAGACTTTCAGAGGTAACCAAAATACGCCTATTCTCCAAGCAGAACGCCAGATTACCAACCACAAACAAAGCTAGCCTTTGCACCTGGGGCCAAGAAAAGTGGAAACAACATAAAAATGGGCACAAAAAGATAAAAGATCCAAGAACCTGATAACATAATATACAAATATGAAACATGCCTCTGGGTTTCTGTGGCCACACAGAACTTTCAATGATTTCAATAAATCCTTGGTTAACATCTTCTGGGATACCCTGTCTGATGCAAAAGCCAATGTTGACACAACTTGCAGGACTGAAATTACTTCTTCTTGGGAAACAGATTTTAGCACTGTTTCAATGGGCTGCATGATGTCACATTTGATCAACTGCATTGCCATAGAAACTTCTCCAGCAAGAGAAGAGAGGGCAGAACATGCTTGCTCAACCTGCAACAGATGAAAATTCTCAGAAGAGTACACCAAACAGAAATGACAAAATTTGAAGAAAAAATAATCTTGTAAGGAAAAGTGCACCAGCATACCACGTGACGATCATCACTGCTGATCATACTAATGAGCTGTCGCACTGCATTCTCATCTTTACCAATAACTGCACGGTTACCTTGGTCTTGCACTATTTTAGCCAGTGCAGATGCAAGAAGAGCATGATGGCATGAGGAGAAGCGGAATATAAGAGAGAAGAAAGCACTCAGCTTGTGTCTGGATGTTCCAAAATAAGAACTGCTCTCCCCCTGCATAACCACATCATAGAATGTGAGTTACAGGAAATCAAAAGTCATTTCAACTAATTTTACTGATAAACCGCAAAAATTACTACCTCTATCTGCACAGTGACAGATCTAAGATTTTCATCAGCAACAATCCTGATATTTGCAAGGGTTAAGTGCCGAAGTTTATGCAGCGGTAAGATTTCCGGGAGAAATTCGAGAGGGTTGCCATATAGCCTAAGAATCTGCAACTCGGCCATCACCCTGCCATTCAACTGGAGATAAGCATTATGCCCAACGAAAAAGTCTTGCTAGAAACTTTAATTTGAAGAAAATTGATAGTTGGTTCATTGAGATGACCTGAAATCAAGAAGTGGACGAATAAGCTTATTATGTTCCAATGACAACTCTACCAGTTGAACACACTGCCTCAGTTCCACTGTTTAGAATTCAAACAACATCAGACAGCAGTTCAAGGTAATGAAAATATGAAATCTAGAAATCCCCTTCAACTGAGACAG